ACTAGAGCTCCTGAATTAACTGATCGAGACATTGTAACTAACCCTGATGCAACGTATCCAGAGATCAACCGAAACAACCTTACTACCGATATTAGTAACCAAATAAACCAGACCTTTGGTGCATTAGCCAAAACAATAGAGAGTACTAACTCCACATCCAAAGCATCTTTTAAAAGGGATTATACCCTTACGTCCAAGGCTAATATAAATGTATGGTTGGATCGATTGAACTCTGAATTATCGGCAAAAGAATTATTAGATGTCATAGATTCAAACACTAGACCCAAAAGAATCTTCGATGTTGACGAAGTTGATAAAAGAAATAGATTAGTTAGAGACATTATAATAAATCATCTAGATGAAAACTATCACAAAATAATTCTTAACATAAATGACCCTAAAGAAATATTAACGAAAATTAGAGAACACAGAAGAATAGAGGCAAACACAGACGATGCTAAAGTGAGAGAGGAGCTGTACAGTATTAAAATAAATAAACAGGATAAAGTTTCAGTATTCATAGATAAATTTGATTCAATTATTAGAGAATATGAACTATGCGATACAGCCATTCCTCTCACTGACGCAGAGAAAACGTCTGCCTTTATGAAAGCTGTGAAAGATACATATCCACGGATCAGAGAAATGGATATAATTACGAAACAGACCAAAGGTAGAGGAATGAACTTTGAAGAAATGAAAAATTTCATCCGACAGCTCGAAGCCGATCTGCGAAGTTCCGGCGTTGCGAAGGGAGCCTCCGCTAACGTGGCTAGACCGGGTGCTGCAGCCACGGCCGGTGCTGGTCCCAGCGGCAAGTGTTTTAGATATGATCGATTCAATGTCGATCACGTCTCTGACTCTTGCCCGCTGATCCAGTACAGGCTGTGGTTCTGCTATATATGCAGAGACTTTGCCCATCACACGGGCAGAACCTGTCCACGTGGAGACGGGTCGCACCGTGGTGGAGAGTATGTTGCAAATAATAATAATGATAACAATAGAGAGTCAAAAGAATCAAAAGGAAGAGTTAATTACAGAGGTAACAGGGGAAAATATAATAGAGGTAACGGTAATAGTAAAAGAGGCAAAGGTTATTACGTAATAATAGAGATAACAAAAGTCGTAACCCTAGAGGTCGCAATAACGGTAGAGTAGGCAAACGTGGCGCAAGCAGAACCTACTACCCAAGTGGAGACAAAAATAAACAGAAACTGGCGAACGCTGCAGTAGCACTTACTGAAGGTAAGAATATGGGACTCACATGAAACATGAAACATGGGATTGACATCCATATTGGACATAGTGAGGAAATAATAGCGATATAAATATTCATTAAAATAAAGATAACAATTAAGGACTGGATAAATACAAGTAAACATGATTTGCTACTGAAAGAGAATCGAATCACTCCCGGTAACTGAGAGAATTCGTTTATGAGAAGTTCGCAGCAATAACTTATTGTAAAATGCCGCAATTACAACGACGAGTTATTAATCAATTTTTCTGAAGTAATGGTAAACATTTACGTAAAGAATATCCTCATCTGTCTAGTTTGCTATTTTTACAGTACAAAAAAGCTGTAACGAGGTCGAGTCTTATTAAACTTTAAAGTCTTTAATACAAGATGAACTAAAAATACTTATTACCTCGACGAATGTACCATTTTATTCGATTAAAGAAATGAAAAAAAATTCAGTAGAACATACAACCAATAGAACCGTATTTGATATACGAATAAAGTATAACGCTAAGCGGTTGTATTTAACTCCAAACGTCCTATCTAAGTGTGGAAATATTTTTTTTTAACACTGAGGTTTTTTATTATACACATATTATCTAATTGGGTTGATGTAATAATATTTGATATTGACAACAAAGTAATTCAACTTCAATAAAATTCAATGTGAAAATTATAGACTGGATAAATACAAGTAAGCATCATCAGCCTCTGAATGATATATCTTTTAAGATCAATGAAACTGAATTTATAATGTACTGAAATTAGTTTACTTGATAGTAGTAAAAAAAGCAATGTAAGCGCTTCCTAGTGGTCAACGAAATCAATAAATCGTTCTCTCACAATACTCTGAAAAATATGTAGATGTTAATGAGATGCCAATATCTACTCGCCTGCCGGTTTTTTACCTTTCTGGAAAGGTGTGTGGAGTGAGGGCCAAAGGTATGCATTACGTAAATGTTACAGGAATATCCAGGATGTTAATGAAGCTTTGAATAATTGTGATTTGGATAAATTGGATGATATTGCAACGAAAGCCGCATCAACGTATTCAGTATTTCAATGCAAAAATACGGATGAAATGTCATTAGATGAAAGTGAAATATTAAAAAAACGTCATGAAGGCGTTAAAATTTATTATAACACTTTGAACAATCTTCCATTAAATATTTGTTTTTCTTGCGAACGATTATGTTGCAATAAAAGTATAGTCGATGTTAAAAATAATGAACCAAATGTTGCATGTGAATTATTAGGACTTACGAATGATGCTTGGACAAATTTAAAGCAATACTATCAAAACAATAATTTGATAGGAGCATTTAATAATGGTAAAATTTGCAAAACTTGTTTGGAAAAACTTAAAAAAAATACTATACCCCCTACGTGTCTTTTAAACAATCTTTATTTTAAACCTATTCCTGACGAAATAAAATGTTTGAATATGTATGAAAAGATTTTAATCCAGCGTGTAAAAGCATTCCAAGTTCTCCAGAAAAAAAGTACTGTTATGAAAAAAAATCTACCTCATTACGCTCGCCATGACAAACTCGTGGGGAAAGTGTTTCATTTACCTCTATCTTTAGATGAAACATTACGAAAATTGTGTAAAGAAACCGATCCGTTGAACACTGCTCATGAGTTATATATATTGGTTAGAAGTATTCCTACTAAAGGTAAGATTATTTAGGAAGAATACGTAGATGTAAAAAGAATATGGGATGCTTTGAAATGGCTCAAAGAAAACAATCAACTTTATTCTAAAATTAATCTTCCTACTAGTCCAGAAGATTTATTGACTGAACTCAAAGATACAGATTTAGAGTATGTTGAAGAAAATTCTGTTGACAAAGTCGATGAAGACAGTAAGAAAGCTGGTATTTCTAAAATGGAGCCAGAAGCATTATTGACAGCAAAATCGCAATCGGACACATTTTACGATGAATATAAAATACATGCTTTGCATGTAAAAAAACCGAATAAATCAGATACAAAATTATATCAAATGAAAAAAATTTATGAAACTCCTTTGGCTTACAATGAGAAGGACTTAGATTTGAAATGTTTTCCAGACATCTATCCCTATGGCGAATGTGGCCAACGTAGTCCCAGAGACATCAGATTACGAGATTCTGATTTTATTAAACATATATTAACATCTAAACATACGCTATTTAGAGAAAGCAAACAATTACTTTTTTATTATCTACATGATAGCAATATGAGAAATCTCAATGCAGGAATTTATCACATGTTACATGTTTTGGATACACGTTACAAATATACTGCAGGGAGTTTCAGGAATCAATTGGACGAAAATGTTTTAGAATCAAATCTTTATTCTATTTTTTCTCGCTTAAGAGGAACTGAAGCATACTGGCGAAGACCAAGAAGAGAACTGAATTGTATGACGCAAGAATATGGTCCAGTTACATTTTTCGTTACGTTAAGTCCGGCAGAATGGAACTGGCCCGATTTAGGGGAATTCATACGAAATTATCAATCGCTGGATAATGATTGTAGATCTAACAGTCAACTTATCGTGGACTATCCTGTTCCAGCTGCAATTTCCATCGAACAAAAATTTAAAGCTATAATGGCTTATTTGCTTTCTGACGCAAAACCTATAGGAAAAATTGAGCACTACTATTATGTTCGTGAGTATCAAGGTCGAGGATTACCTCATTTTCATTGTATTTTCTGGATAAAGGATGCTCCAGTATATGGCATATCTTCGAATGAAGATGTAAAAAAATTTATAATGCAAAACATTACATGCCGTATACCCAATAAATATACATCTCCAGATATATATCGTAGAGTTATGGAATATCAGCAACACAAACATAATGACTACTGCATGCGTAAAAATAAAACACGAAGTGGTTTTATAAGTACTTGCCGTTTCGAATTTCCGCGAAAGATAACAAAAGAGTTTATTTTACGTGCTGTTATCATGGCTATAACAAATCGTAGAAAGTTGAAGAATAATAGTAGGCTTTATGATTTGCCTCGAAATTTCAATGAACGATTTACAAATGATTATATACCTGCTATATTAGTTTTATGGGAAGGAAACACTGATGCTCAATTTATTGGTGAATCGACATTTCTTTTGACACATTACGTTACATGTTATGGGACAAAAGGTGAAAAAAGTAATATTGATCTTTCTGATATAGCATTGAATAGATCTCTTGCTAGTAGACTTTGGACCATAGGTTTACGCGGACTTACTCACAGAGAATGTGGAGCTATCGAAGCTGCTGATATTTTATTAGGCCATCCACTTCATGAAACTGATCCAAGTACTACTTTTCTATAGGTTGACGTTGGTTTTGAGAAAAAGAGAAAATTAAAACAAAAAGATGTATTGGAGCTATTGCCTGAAGATTCAACTGACATTTTTTGTGATAATTTAGTAGATACGTACTATCCAAAGCGTCCTAAAGAGTTAGAAACTATGTGTTTATACGATTTTGCTAGATTTTTTGATATATGGAAAAAAGAGCCAATTCGCAAAGCTGAATTTTATAAAATGGACGAACATTTATATTGTAGAAAAAGAAAACAAGCACGTTTAATTCTTCACATGAAATACAATCCTCAAACACAACCTGAACCTTATTATTTTTCTATACTAATATTATTCAAACCATGGAGAAAAACTGAGGAACTAAAAGGAAAACAAGACACATATCATAATGCTTTTATTGAAATAAAGGATGAATTATCTGCAGCACTTAAATATCATGATAAAATGCAAATGATTCAAAATGCCATGGATGAGGCTAATAAATTAATTGAGCAACAAGAATTAGCAAAGACGTTGACCCAAACGTCAGAACATCTGGAAAATACTGATCCTCTTGATGCATTACAAGTTATAAAAGATGTTCAAGATTTGATTGAAAAGGTTTGTGAAAAAGAAAATGATAGTGACTTAGATGACTTAGATGAATCTATCAAAAATTTCAATAATGATCAATTGAGAATATTTAATACAATTACATCTACAATATCATCCGGCAGTAAAGTAATGAGAATGTTCGTTAGCGGATTTGAAGGTACTGGTAAAAGTTATCTGATTGAAAACTTGGTTTTATGGAACAAACGAAAGAGAAACAAAAATACCGCTGTTGCGGCTCCAACAGGTATCGCAGCATTTAATATTGAGGGATTGACAATCCATAGATTATTACAATTACCTGTAGAGCAAGGAGGCACGGCAAAATATAAATCTCTATCCGTTAATACGTTGAAAAGAGTACGGCAAAGTTTTAAGGATGTAGACTTTATTATCATTGATGAGATTTCGATGATATCAAATATAACCCTTATATATATCCATTTACGTCTGGTAGAGATTTTTGGTACATCGGACAAAGAAGACGGTTGGTTTCGTAAAATACATATTATAGTATTTGGAGATTTACTGCAACTACCACCTGTGCGAGAAGATTTTGCTTTCATTACACTTACAAGATCGCAAATTGAAAAATATATTAAAGGAATGTCGTCATTTAATTTATGGGCCTTGTTCGAATGTGAAGAATTGACTATAAATATGAGACAGAAAAATGATAAAGATCACTCAGAAATTTTAGCTAAATTGAGACTAGGTTATTTAACCAACTCTGATATAGAAATATTACAAAAAAGAAAGATTTCTTTTTCCATTCATACTCCTTCAATTTCTCTTCATGAATTGTGCGAATATTTGAATAATTTACCTAATGATACAGTATGCTTGATGCCAACTAAAGATATGTGTACAATACTTAATAAAACCATGTTGGATAAGTTACAAGCAGAAGAGATAAAGTTAATTGCGAATGATTCTTACAAGTGCCCCAAAAGATTAGAAAAAAGGGTTTCGAAAATTTTAGATCAAGGCGATGACAATGCATGCGGTATTTCTCGAGTGATCGAAATAAAAATAGGCTGCAAAATTATGATACGAAGGAATATTGATGTTTCTATCGGATTAGTTAATGGAACGATAGCAACAGTTATTGCAGTGAGCAAAGGAAAAACAGGTATAGATAGCGTTACCATTAAACTTCAATCGAATCAAGAGTATTTTATCAAACGATTACAATACCCATTCCAAATAATGGATCAAGTATTCATTATTAGAGAACAGTTTCCTTTTTGTCTCAGTTATTGATCCATACAAAAATAATAAAATATTTGACAGTATATGGTCTGTTTCACGTCATGCAGATTCAAGCAGACAATCGTAATAGTATTCTTGAATGCCCATTGAATGACTTTATTATTAAAAGATAAAAATAGCTTATCTTATGCAAAATCATGTGTTGTGACGGTAAACGTCAAGTTAGCGCTAACTACGTGACCTTATCGTTGTCCGTGAGGGCAGCACCTTCCGGGGGGACAAAAATATGTAATAAAGGAATTCGGCACGCGAGCAGACGGAACGCGCGCGAACGAATTTGAACCAGTGAAGCATCGACTGTAGTTGAGCCCGCCCGCTTCTGTTGTTACCACCGCCGATTTACGTGCCCTAGCCGCCTGTACGCTTCGTGAACTAGCAGCCAGTGATCCAGGATTGTAGCCGCCGAGGAGCTGCCAAGCTGCGAGTCAGAGGCCCGATCGAGAGATCCAGGGAGAGTGTGTGAGGTTTCGCCATCGAGGGCGAAACCAGTGCGTGCGCGCGTTCGCGGCTCGCGAATATCAAAAACAATAAGCGACTGTTCCGTGCTGTGCGAGTTGCTGTGACTGTCTCCGATCACTCACGATTATAAGGTAAGCTGGCCAGCTTAATTACGCGATCGGAATTACATGTCGGATAAATAACTTTCGGTATTCGATGCGTGCGTGTGAGGCTCTAATATCAGAGAGCAGCGAGCGTACCGGCAAAGCGTGTTGCCGATGAGCGAGCGTGCGTGTAAACAAACTCGCGGGCCGACCTTTGTGAGTTAGAAAAATAATAAAGCATCCGATCTATAATACTAACAAGTGTTTTCGTTGATTCTCTCCTCACATAGCTTCCACTCAATTTAGCTAGGTTATAAACGATAATCGGTTGACCGGCGTATGCTTTCTCGTGCTCTCCCGTATTAGTAGTGAGCATTAACGATTCACGCGTGTCCCCTTAGCATAATCACGCGACGTAATTATTAAACGGTTTTAACCCGTTACATGGCGCCCAACGTCAAAGAACCTACGGTGTTTTTGATTGTGCAAAACACCGGTTCTTTATATTAACCTTGCGCTCGGTCAACCAATAGCTCAGGTGGCAGTCAAGTGTTGTTGTGCGCACTCGACACCGAAAGCCACCAGTGTAAACAATACCTGTTAGCTAGCTTGCGAAGGCCCGCCGCGGCGAAAATTTGTAAACAAAACCTGTGAACGCGTGCGAGTGCGACCGAAAGATTCTAGAACGTAAACACCAACGAATCTTGAAAATTGCCGCAAATAATATTATACCCGTTGGCCCCGGGAAAAACTAACACCGGCAATTTTCAAACGGGATTAATTCAATTGAATAATTTTGTTCGACATTGTATTGTGTTAGCATAGTTTTTTTAATATTATTGTCTGCGATTATTGGTGTTTACGCACAACGCTCATTACAATATTTTAGATACTAACTCACACAGCCGTGCTAACAAACAGTTAGTACGTCTGATAGGTAGGATCATTATATTGCGTATTTACGAGCAAAGAATCTTTCGGCAATTAATTCATTAAGCGCCCTTGATCAAGCCCAGTGTTGGCAAATAAAAATTTTTTTTATTCTTCAATTCGGCGCACGAATTTTAATATAACACTCGCACGCGCGTATAATACCTGCATTTTTACAAACAAATTCAACCGCAAGTAACCTAACAGCAAATCATGGACCGCACTCATACTGAAGTAGAGAATTGGGTATGGACGCTCCAGGAAGAGGAGATAGAAGAATACCTCGACCAGCTGGAGCTCAAGACTAGCGGGAGCAAGCTCTCGAGAGCTGCCCGACTGCATAACTGGCTACTCGGCGAATATTCCGCAGCAGATTTTGCGGAAGTCGAACACCAAAACAGCAGTCCAGCCAAAAGAGCCGCCCTACGCTCAGAGCTAATCGTGTCCCTATGCCAGGAACACACAGCATCCGAGCAGGAAGGAGAACACCCGCTAGCCCAATTACTACAGAGTGCGGACGTAATATCGCGGGTTCAGAAAACCGCGATAAACATCGCGAATGCCCTGGACAGCGGAGAAAAATCAAATAGCAATAAAGAAATTACTATAACAACTGACGAAGGATTCCAGTTTAAACTCCCGCCGGCATTCGCAATTATGATTCAAGACCTCATTTTCCGATGCAGGGAACATGAGAGGAAATGGGAGGTCCAAGAATCGCGAAATAGAAATGCGTCTGACCTTACCCAAGTTATGCAAGAAATCGTCCAGACTAACGTCAGGGCGCAGGAACACATGGACAACCTTGCGACCAGGATTACGGAACTGGAGAATGCCGCGAACAAAAGTACGCGGCAAGACGAATCAAACATTTCCAAGGAGGAACCGCAACCCGAAAACACGCGTAGGAGTGTCGCATTCCAGGACACTTTCACATGCCATTACGACGCAAAGCTACCCCAGAGCACTCCAGCCGGACCAGGCCTAAGGCCCACGGGGGCCCCCGACAGGACCCCCCGCCGAACGCCCCCTTTTGGAGAGGGTGGACAGCATCAACTCGGTGGAGTTAATGCTGAAGTGAGCAACCACCCGCCGAGCATGTGGTCATCCCAACAGACGTCGAGCCCGTTATCCACAATAAGGGACGTCGGCCGCATCGTCAGGGGATGGAAGCTCAGGTTCTCCGGAGAGGGCAACGCGAGCATCGACACCTTCTTAACGAGATTAGAAAACTCGAGGAGCAGCGCTGGACTCACGGAAGACGAGATGCTCACGGCTGTCTCCGAGTTGCTCACCGGTCCTGCCCTTGTATGGTTCGAGGCGATGAGGAATGAATGGTTCTCCTTCGCGGATTTCGAGGCAGACGCCAGAGTATGGTTTGGAACCAGCAGGCAACAGCAGCAGCGTCTAATCAAAGAGGTACAAGGCCGATATCAGGGCCCAGACGAACCCGCGAACGTGTATATCGCGAACCTGATGGGCCTAATGAGTCGGCTAAACCCCAGGATGACACACGAGAGTCAGCTAGACCTGCTTCATACCAACCTCCTACCGGAAATCCAAAGCCAAATACGGAGATCAGAAGCGGACTCCGTACGAACCCTAAACGTCCTGGCCATGACGGCCCAGCACAACTTGCATCAGCGGAGGATGGAGCGGACGATGCCAGACCCTCAGTCGACTTTGTATCCTGAGATGGCATATCATCCCCGCACCGACGCGAGCAAGGCTCGTAAAGGGAAAGTGGCTTCCATGTCCGGTGATAAACCGGAAGTCAGCGATCGATTGGAACGCATGGAAAAGGTACTCGAGAAGGTGACGCACCAGGTCGTCTACACACCGACGCCCCCGGGGGCAGCACCTAATCCGAGCCTGGAAGCCGTCGATGGTGAGAAGAAGGTTCCCCCCACCGACGTATTCAACCAAATGCTGTTATCCCTTAAGGAAATATCGGCGGAAATGAAGAATAACCGCACCGATAAAAGTTCGACTTCCGATGACCGAAGTAAAAGGCCGGAGACTCCCCGTAAACGAGGAAGAGAGTTCTCTGGGCCGATCAAATGTGCCGAGTGCGGCCTACTGGGTTATTATAGGAAGTTCTGTCCCCAGTGTAATAAGGGAAACGACCAAAGGAGTGGTTAGGTGGGGTTGATCCCACTCCTTCATCCAATAACCCAAACCCCGTCAAAGAGATCTCGCGGCCCCCGCCAACACAGCCTACGTCGTTAAGGGCGAGCGTGTTGGGCGTCGAGGACGAGAACTCCATTGCTGACGCCAAGGATAAGCGTGGCGAAAGAGTGCGCTCGGAGAAGAAAGGTTTCGACGCTGGTAAAGCCAAAGACCCTAGACCAGCCGAGGCGGTGACGTACGGATCGCACACGCCCTCGGGGGCACGGGCTAAGGCAAATAAACCGTCGAAGAAGAACCTCATGGAAACTCCGATCGTCCGAACCAAAGGGGCTCGGACGACAAGTAACGTCACTCGACCACGCAAGAGCACAATGGTTAGCGCTATAACAAATAAAGGGGAAAGCTGTGGAGCCGTCGAAACTGTTTCCCGATATTCCCCGGAACAGGAGACGCGTTGGTGGCTACCGGTGAAGATAGGGGACTTCCAAATACGGGCCCTCTACGATCCGGGAGCTTCTACCACAGCCATGGGTAGTAATGCTCTACAAATAGCGACTGTGCTAGGCGTCAGATTAGATACCACCCACGCGGGAACGGCAGGATTACCAGACGGTCGTAAGTTAACGATCGTCGGTCACGCCATGCTACCTTTTACCGTGGGAGGATTGACGATGCCGACGAGAGTAGCCATCCTCCCTACCCTCGTCGAAGAATGTATTTTAGGAGTGAACTTCGTCAGGTTGTTCAGAGCGGTACTTGATCCAGACGACAACACGTTGCTGTTCAAGGGATCGCAGGCCAAAATGGAGCTGGAAGTAGCTAGTTTGGAGGCTGGTCCGAGATTAGCCACAATCGGACTAGCCGAGGTTACGGCTACGCAACAGACCATGCTGCAGAAGACCATCAACGAGGCCCTATCCCGAGCCCCGACGGGCTTGGGATGTGCGGCAGGCATCGAGCACGAGATTCGGGTCGGTGATACGAAGCCGATTAAACAGCGTTACTATCCAGTATCGCACAAGGTCGAGCAAGAAATGCATAGACTGGTAAGGGAAATGTTGACCCAAGGGGTAATCGAACCAGCCGACAGTGGCTGGTCGAGCCCAGTGGTCATGATACGCAAGAAGGACGGCTCATACCGATTTTGTATTGACTTCCGAAAGGTCAATAAAGTCACAGAGCCGAATGCGTATCCCTTGCCGTTTATGCAAGATATACTAAGGCGTTTGCGAAATGCGCGCTATATATCTACGCTCGACCTCAGTAGCGCGTATCACCAGATCCCACTCAAGATCGAATCTCGGCCGATTACGGCCTTTACCGTACCTGGACTGGGACATTTCCAGTTCGTACGAATGCCGTTCGGCCTCTCGTACGCCGGTGCCACCT